TTATCTTCTTGCTCAGTTGTGCAGCGGGGCCTCCCACTTCTCTTTCTACTCTGGTTAGAGCCTGTTTGTGCTGTTCTCTGAAGGGAGTAGTACACACCGTTGTAAGAAATCTTCAGTTTTTTGGCAATTTCTCGCATGGAATAGCCTTCATTTCTAAGAACAAGAATAGACTGTCGAGTTTCACATGAAAGTTCTCTTTTTCTGGCCATTTTGAGCATTTAATCGACCCCACAAATGTGATGCTCCAGATACTCAACCTGCTCAAAGGAAGGTCAGTTTTATAGTTTCTCTAACCAGCTAAACTGTTTTCAGCTGTGCTAACATGATTGCACAAGGGTTTTCTAATCATCCATTAGCCTTCTCATGCAATGAGCAAACACATTGTACCATTAGAACACTGGAGTGATAGTTGCTGGAAACGGGCCGCTATACACCAATGTAGATATTGCACCAAAAAACAGACATTTGCAGCTAGAATAGTCATTTACCACATTAGCAATGTATAAAGTGTATTTCTGATTAGTTTAAAGTTATCTTCATTGAAAAAAACAGTGCTTTTCTTTCAAAAATAAGGAAATTTCTAAGTGACCCCAAACTTTTGAACGGTAGTGTATATATATGATATATATATAAATTCAAGTTAATTAAAGGTATGTAGCAGTAGAACAAATTGTTTTGTTACAGTGGAAAAAAAGAAAAACACTTTTTTGTTTTTTATCTTCACCTCTGGCTCCTGGTTTTCAGGTTGTGCCTCAGAAGCAGAAATCTCATCAATCCATTGTCCCAAATCAGAAGTCTTGTTCTTCCAATTGGAAAAGTCCCCATATCTCCTCCACCGTTGGTAAGAGTTCACTCTCCTTCCAGAGTTTACCTGAGCTTCAAAACCATCACATTCTGTCAACAAGTTGTTTCTTTTTTTTTTGCATGTCCAGCTTCCAATCAGCCACCACCAGGCTCAGGGGTATCCTGTGTGTTAGACCAAATCCCCAGTTCACAGTCTCTTATCAGCAGTAGCACTGCTCTAGTGAAAAGTGAACAAAATCAGGTTTGGATCTGTTCATTTATCTTAGCCTGATCTTGTGTGCCAGGACAATAAAGAGTTATCTTATTTTACTGAACTGTAATGCGTACATATACATAAAAATATCAAAGTAACTGATGTTAAAACTACACTCTCATACATTTCTTTTCCACTTCTGTGTTTTCTTTTAATAAAACCTTAAATGTTGTTGTAGTTGTGACAGAGCCGGAGGACAAAACACATATCTGCTGAGCAAAAAAGACGATCAAACATAAACACTGGTTTTGAAACGCTCTGCTCGCTGGTGCCCACCCTGAGGTCCCAGTCAAATGTAAGTTTTGTCAGTGCTTGATTTTTACTGACGCTGCTTTTATGCATGGTTGTGCATTGTGTTGTTTGTCTTTGCATTTAGATCAGCAATGCCGCCACACTGCAGAAGACAGTGGAGCACATTGGGAAGCTTCAACAAGAGAGGAAGCAGATGCAGGAGGTGGTTAGGAGACTGCGGGAGGAGAACAACTCCATCGGGTAATCGCTCACGCTTGGCACTTTTTTTTTTTTAATGATTATTTGATTTTGGTTTTTTTATTCCTGTTCTCTTCATAGCTTCTGTCAAAAGCAGCTGCCTGCAACTGGGATTCCAGTCAGAATGAACCACTTGAGCCAAACACAGGAACAGTTCAATGAATATGTGAAGAACCGAACTCTTCAGAACTGGAAGTTCTGGATCGTATCCTCCAGTCGAACAGCGGTCACATATTTGTTCATTAATAACCAATAGTCTGCTTAAATATGAAGTAGGGTTGTCTGATATTAACTTTTTGCCGATACCAGATATGCAGATATTGTCCAAACACTTAATGTCTGATTCCGATATCATCCGATATCGAAGTTTAGTGCCACCTTTTTACTAACCAGTCATAATTGTTTAGGTGTCACTCATCTGTGTCACTAGTCCTTGACTGACATTGATATCAGTTCAGCATCATCTTCAAGCCCCTGTTTGACTCCTTCAATGGGATGGTGTCGACCACAAGCAGAGAGGAGCTGTACCAGACCACACTGCAGTGGCTCGATCGTCACTGTTTTCTTCCAGTGCTCAGACCCAGTGAGTAAAAGATCATCACATCCTGCACACGCACTGGCACAAACACACCCTCCAATGACCACCTAACTCAGTCTGTGACTGAAATGGAAGAGTCATGGATTACCCACAGCCCACATGTGGTGTACGATCAAATTTTTTCTGAATTTCTCCTGCCTTTTTTCATCAGGGAACTGTAACACCAAATTCTAAGTTTTCATTATCTCACATTATCAAATTTTCTGACTGTGGTTTTCAACCTCTTCCTCTGCCGCAGTGGTTGTTTCCTATTTACTCTTACCGAAGCACACACAAATATGATAACACTATTGCTATTGGGCCAGGTCACCTGAGGCTGGGCCCCCACATGTGAAGGATTAAAGAAGTGAAAAGATTGATATAGAATTGCAGTATTTGTCGGGTATTATTTCATGGTCAGGTGCTCATATCAACATCAGATTAGTTTGAGGAAATTAAGCTTGTTGCAAAAATACTGTCATTCTAGGATCTTTGAATTTGTTACCTTTGCATTTCTTTTGATAATAACATGTTGAAGTCTCACAGATTTTGTTTCATTAACAAGATTTCACTCCCTCCCAAATTCCAGAAACACGAGTGCAGAGAGGCCAAGAGGTTATTAGCAGATAGCAAAAATAGAAATGACTATGTTGACTCTAATGTTTATTAGATACTGTTTTGATTTTTTTCCAATTAATACATCACAATAAAAATGAATTTCCATGAAATAGCAATAATGCACCATAGTGCGTCACAATTTAATCGCAATTACGATTTCACACTTTAGGCTGTTTAAACAAATGTAGAGCCACATACACACGCTGTTGGGCATGTAGATGTTGATACTGTCTGATGTGCCTGATGTATCCGTTGAGACTCTGTTTCTTCCAGTGGTGTTGAACACTCTGTGCCAGCTAGGCACGACTACGGCCATCCTCAGTGACCCCTCCTTGTTGCCTGAAGAAGCCGTGCATGCCGTTTCCCAAGGAGATATGTAGCTGGAGGGGAAGTGGAAGGAGCAGCCACAAACGCAGCATCACTTCTCCCTAAATCAGCAGAGCCAGACCATCGTCTCCTCCACAGGTCCATCCTTTATCAGAAACTGAACTGAACTGGTATGGTGTATGTGAGACGTTCGTGCATTGTCCTTCTTTACATACATTATCTGAAATGATGCACACACTTGTGCCTTCTGACTTTTATAATTATTGTGCAAAAAATGGCTTTTTATCATATTGTTATTGAATGAAAACTCTCGGAGGTCTAAATACTGGGTTGGAAGAAGGTACCTTTTGAACATAAATATGGATTACTTTTATAGTGTGCAAAGACAGCATTATATTAAAAAAGGGAAATATTGAGTTGTTGTCAGATGTTAAATAAATATATGGATTTTTTGGAATAGATTATACAGTAATATGGTTTGCTTTTGTTTCTCAGTAAGGTTTTTTAACTTAAATCTGAAAGTCAGATAAATAAATCAGGACAAACACATTTTTCAGAGAAAATATTAAATAAATATTCTGACTCTGGTGATGCTGTTCTTTTATCAGTAATCTCAGAGAACGACCCTACTTGTACTCTTTTGTACGAAGTATTTGTAAAACAGTTTTACCAAATTTTGTCATTTTTCCTCAGTTCAGTATTGGTTTAGCTTCAATGAAAGCACTCTCTGTTCTTGATCTACACTCAGGGCTGCACCATTGTTCTACAGTCAGTAAATCTGAGTTCATCTTAGTTTTAGTTCATCTCTCTCTCTCTCTCTCTCTCTCTCTCTCTCTCTCTATCTCTCTCTATCTCTCTATCTCTCAGAACAGGGTTCACAGTCGGTGACGGACACTAAGCACTCCTTATTCTGCAACACCTCTTCAGCAAACAGCTGGATACCTGGACATATTTATTACTACTCAAAAGAAAACAATGCAACTCTGAAAGCAGCTACGAATGTTGTTTGTAAATGATGTTCTTGTTCTTCCATTATAGTGTTATGTCACCCATTACCAGTAAATCAGTTTCTTCAAAGAGCCTTAAAAGTGTGACAGTGTCATTTCATTGCTTTATTTTCAGTAAATATAATTTTGCCGTCGATAGATATTTCTTTAGATAAATAAACAATATTGAACTTGAAACTTGAAATTGAAGATAAAGTATGCGGGAAAAATAGAATGATACTAAATAACACTTGGTAATTTAAAACAGCCCCTCCTTGAACCGCAACCTTAACGTGGTGGAGGGGTTTGAGTATCCGAATGAACCTAGGAGCTATGTTGTCGGGGGCTTAATGCCTCTGGTAGGGTCTCCCAAGGCAAACAGGTCCTAGGTGATGGATCAGACAAATAGTGGTTCACCCCCCCCCCCCCCCCCCAAAACAAAAAAACCCCTTTGGGATGGGGGGTGAACCTTTTTTTTTAAAAAAATTTCACGTCCATATTTCGAGATACTTTGACACTGCAGGCACTACGGTATATTGAGTTTCTTTTAAAGACTGAACCATAAGAATTGCTGTTACAACGTCAGGTCACTAAAACTGAAACTGAGGAACCTACTTTTTAATTGCTACAGAACAAATAAAAGCAAAATAAAATGAACAACATGAATATTTTCATGTTAATTACTTAAAATTACTTAAAAAAAGACTGAACTGCAGAACTGTAGTAGCCTCTCAGTTTACCTAACATTCTGAAATCTTGCAATGGGTCAATATGTGGTAAGTGAAGCAAGGTATCATCAGCGTAACGGCGGAGTATTGTGAAACATGACGGCACGTCCCAGTGTGTTTGACTGATCTTCAAACTGTTTGGTATAAAATGCAAACGTGTCATATTTGGCTTTTTTTTTTACATTTCAAGCCATTAATAGTTTTGTCTTAGTGAAAACAAATATTGGAAGTCAAAGGTGTTTCAAGTAAATATATGCCTGTTGTTTATGTAACCATTTTTGTAGGGTTACATCATCGTAATAAAACCGTTTCAATATTGATTCTATGGCTGCAATTACTGTACAAGACACAGAAAAGTTGAGACCAGTGGGTGACCTTCCTCAACATCACAGCTTCAGTTTCCCTCATCACAATAAAATATACTCAGCAGCTTAATATACTGGGACAGCATCAGAGGCTGAGTCTCAAGGGCAACGGACAATCTTCTTTGAGGGTTTGACCTAATTTAATGGATCTTGTTTAAGTGGAATAACAAGCAAATATATCCTCACAAAGAGCTGCATGACAGATTAGAGGAGTGTGAGGATTGGGTTCCGGGAATTATTCCCCACATATATGCTCATATACATCATTACATTGGTGTGTGAGCGAGCGAGCGGGGGTCCTCAGAACTGTGGGAGCCATCGGATGTGCGAGTGAAATTGGAGCGGATCCCAGTGGTGAAACTATTAGAGCCTGTGAATTATAAAACTATTAACCAGAATGTAGCTCCCAATTAAAAGATGATTCAATATCAAGATCTGATGGCTGAATTTTGATTAAGCCGAGACCCCATTAGGAGCAGAGGGAGATGGACGGCGGTCTGCAACTGGGCTTCCACTTAAAAGGCAGTGGTCTAATACAGATTTGTCTCTTTTTGGGCAAATTAAGGTTAATTACTTTAAATAACATGGCTGCGGGCGAACAGAGGGAGAGATGTGTTTTAATTCTCTGGACAGTCGCTGGGCAGGTGGAGGTGGACTTGCTTGTCTGCTGGAGGATATTGTCAGGCAGGGGTGAGTGAGCACACACACACACACACACACACACACAGAGTGTTTTCTTACTACACTTACGGAGACCTCCCATTTAACACTTCCTATAATCCCTAAACCTAATTTAAATTAATCTTTTAGTCTAATCTCGACCACTAACCTTTACCCGAGCTTACTCTGACCACAGTCTCCACTCTAAACATGGGAATTAGCTTGATCTTAATTCTTTATCCAAGCAATAATCCTAAAGTAGGATTTTATTTAGGTCTAACAAGATTATTACAAAGGAGATCAATTTACTTGGACTAAGAAAAAAAAAGTAAGAGAATTTTTTCTGGTATGAAGTGTTTGCTTCTAAATGACTGAAATACTGAAATGTTCTTTGACACATTAGTTTAATACGCTCTTTATGTCATGTAAAATAAACAAATTATAGGTAATTAACCTGTGAAAATTTAAAGCTGCGTAGTAATACATGCATTTTATTTTTTGTAAAAAGGCATTTTTAACAAAGTTTTGAAAAAAGTGCGATCATGTGATATTTATAAAAGAATAATGATGATTAATTACACCATAAAGTAGGAAATAGTTTTTTACCTTCATGAATAGTACAGATGAAATTTTATTATTGGTAGAGAGGTGTCGCTGAAGTTTCACAGCATTACTGTGCATTTTCTTCAAGAACACAGTTGTAATGTATAAATAGAGAATGGCAGACAAGTACTTGAGGATGGTGCAGGACACGTAATATGACTTAAAGATTACTATCAAATTTAAAGGTGAGGTTAAATCCAGGTTTAGTCCTAAGTCCATTCTGGTCTGCCAAAAGATTTGAAGGACAAGTTGTCTGAAATGAGGTTTTTGGTTGAGAGTGACAGAGTTACATTTAGAAGTAGTAAAAGAATGAGCAGTATGGACTTGGACAGACAATTTCAAGATCACAAGTACTGAGGAGAGTTAGTCGATATATTAGACAAAGGATGTGGGGAATGGAGCTGCCAGACAAGAGGACCCCAGAGAATGTCCATGTATGGAGTGCAGAGAGAAATGAAGAAGGTTAATGTAAAGAGTCAGGAAAGATGAAGGCAAGAGATTTACTCTAGCGACCCCTAAAGGTAACAGCCATAAGAAGGGGAAGAAAAAAAATCAATTCTTTTAAATATAGAAGCCTGAGCAGAACCTGTGGCCAACCAATACACGCATGAAGACCCACACAGACACACACACAGACCCACAGACACACACACACACACTTCTCCACCGTTCCTGTGCGTTACTTTTTAATTTATAGCAGAGAAGCAGGGTCTGGTCCCTGCCAGCCTTGCATAAGGGAGATGAGGAGCAGGAGTGAGAGAAAGACAAGATGGGAGGATAAGCTGGATAATTGACACTGACAGAGAGCAGTCAGCCTTGATTAGATCAGCCTTAGTAAGCAGTTCATTAGCAACCTAGACTGAAGGGGAAATACCAGGAGAGAAGAAAAGACTGAGGAAAAACAGAATGTGCAGAAACATTTGTAAAACAAACGCTGCATCAGAGGACTCTGGAAATGTCTGCTTCCTGCGACACTGGTATGGTGATGACCTCTAGTGGTGGGGAAGT